CTCCCGGAGGCGCGGCGCCGGGCGGCCGCAGGAGCCGCTCCCCACCCGGGCTGAGCTCCCCTTCGCCCAGGCGAGGGAGGTCGCGCCGGCTGGTCCTCACCCGGCTTTTGTTTCCCGCCCTGGGTGACAGGTCCCGGCTCCGGCTCCCGTCGGCGGCCCCCGACTCGCCCGAGGCCCGGCGCCGCTGACCAAGGCCGCCCGGAGCTGGCGGCGGGACCCTCGGAGTGCCGGGCGGTGCGTGAGCAGCAGCCGCCGCCACGGGCGGGAGCGAAACTTCGCCTTCGGGGGCCCGGGCGGCGGGACAAGTCGAGCGGGGTGAGCCGTGCGCCGGGACGCCGCGGGAGCGATGGAGCCTAGCTCACCTGGCCTGGCCGGTGGCGGGTGAGGATAACGGAGCGCCCTGCAGCCGCCTTCCCGGCTTTCGGTTTGCGCTCCCGGGACGGTGGGTGTGGATGCGTGTTGGTGGTCTTCACCTGCCGCCCCGGGACAAGCGACTGGGAGCAGCATCCCCGCTGCCTGCCGCTCTTGGAAGGTGCCTCTGCAGCGCGGTTCTAACAGGTGCCAGAGGAAAGCCAGTGAAAAGTTGTTTCAGGGCTTCATTCTTCACTTCCCTCCTGGGACGTTAGCGCGCTTCCCCCCTATTGATGTCAAAGAGGTGTGCTGACGACCCGAGTTCTAGACCACTGTCACTTAAAAATAAGGGGTGGGGGCAATGGTGGTGGTGGTGGTGGTTACCGAGTGGGTTGACCAACCCGGAGGAGCCTTTTAGTCTCATCTAAAAAATCGGTTTCTGCAGTGGTGGCAAAGCGTAGTAAGGTACAAGTTGTAAATGGAGAATGCAGAACTCTAGATATCCTTCTGTGTGGTTCAGGACAGCGTGTACAGCGTTTGGCCGCCATTCAGTAAATTCTGCATGAAGCAGTTTGAGCTTGTGGTTTTGGATTTACTTTTCAGGAGTATGTTTTCCAGTGGAATAAAGCCTAGCTTTGAATGGGAACTTTCTTTGCTTCTCTCAGGGTAGACAGAAGTGTTTATTTTCATTGTCTTCCCACTTTGCTAGATTGTGGACAAGGGAAAAGTTAAGACATATTTTAGCTATTTTTTAATAGTATGTGGGAGTTCTGCTCAACCCACCCACCCAATAAGGATTTTTACTTCAGAGACTTAGAGCAACTTTTTCTCTTGGTGTTTGAATCAAAATTCAAGGATAGACTTGAAAAATGTCTCAGTCACTCTTATGGGAAAATTTTATTTGTGAGATAATTTTAGCATTTTCTGTATGTCTCCCGACTGACCTCTGCTAATCAGTCTACAGTTATGACCCCGATCAATTTAGGGCATCTCTAGGGGAAAAAAAAAATTAAGAAACATTTTTAAAATGAGGGTTATTGATATCCACTCATCATTTGGGAGGGACACTTAATTTAGCGTACTCAATTTTTTGTTCTTTGTTTTTTCTGATGTGTCTTGTTTGAGACTGTGTTGGATAGAGTTTATATTTAAGGGATGTAAGTTTAACTTCTTAAAAACAAAGTTAGAATATTGATTTAATTGTGCTACTTTATTATTTTCACTCAATGGTAATTTTACACATTTACCTAGCTAATCAGCACAACACTAAAAGATTCTTTAACCAATGGGCTAGTTGTGACTAGTTGAATAACCAAACATGATCTTTATAATGTTTCATTTCTCTAAAACACCAGACTTAATCTGTTGTCTCTTTCTAACATTTAAAAAACAAGTATATTTCTGGATCTACTCTTAGTTATGGGAACTTAAAATTAAACAGTTCAACATAAAAAAACTGAAGATACTGGATTGGGCTGCTAAGTCTCTTTTTTCTTTTTATTTGGAAGATAATACATATTTTGGGTAATTTAGTTTTTGTAAAGGCTTCTTAACAGAGAAGAAATCAATCCAGAAAAGCACAAGCATCCTCTTCTGTAGTTATAGGAGAAGTTATTGCTGTTAAAAGCTGTTGGATTTTTGATGTTCAGCAAGGGTAGATGGGTTGAGCAATGGCTTGTCCCTATAAAGATTGGGTTTTTTATTCTTTGTAAAAGGTTGTAAGAAACTTTATATGATTGGGGCTCTCATTGTTTTGGATCACTTACGTAATTTCTTTTTCAAATATAGAGGAATATATTAATTTATTATGCATAATTAGAAATTTTATAATCTTTATCCTATGTTGTGTAAATATGCCTCATATCAATTAATTCCATAAATGTATTTTTAGGAACTTTTATTTTTAAAAGTGACTTTTAATTGATAGCTTGTTTTCAAATTTGGTTTTTGGCCAATCTTAATTACTGATTTTTGTCCACTTTAACTTGTGGTATTCATGTTATAAAATTAGCGACCACACTTCATTTTCAAAGTGAGCATAAGTTAAATTCTCGTATCCACATGGTAACCATTGGGAGTGTTTTTTGAGTCTGCTATCCTCAGGTGTAGCTGCTTTTGAGTTTTGGGGATAGAAAATTTTTTTGAACGAATAGAAACATAAAAAATACAAATATATGTTAAAACATCTAAATTGGGATTAAGTCATATTACATTATTAGAAGTTCACACTGTTTTGCCTATAAAATGCATGTTGCCCCTATCATTACTATTGTCCTCTGTAGACCTTTAATGTAATCTTTCAACTATTTCTAAAAAACAGTCTATATTGTACATATTTTGGCACACTGAATTTTATAATTATATCATGCTGAGAAATTTAAATATGTGTATTTTATATATCTAAAACTGAACTTTCTAATCTACCTAATCAGTAACTTTTATTTTTTAATATTTCTGAATTCTTCTATATTGCATTTTTTTTTTTAACTTTTGACCTTATAGACCCCAAAATGTAGAGAAAATGAAAACACATCCAGAGACTGGATGGGTTGTTATGTAAATCATGTAACTGTTGATTTTAAAACAATTTAAGAAAGTAGCCACTTAGTGTGGTTTTAATTTGCAAAGTGTTTGTTTATTATGTAAAGGACAATTCTGTCAAATGAGACAGGTTATACTAATTTATAGTAGGGTCATATGTATCTTTATATTTTTATATTACTCATCTTTAGCTACTAAGTTATTAAGGATTTTTTTTGCAGTAGTTGAAACACTAAAATTTCGATACATAAAATAATTTGTGCCCTATATAGTTTATTAAGGGGAAAATGGACCTGCAGTCAACTGAAACTGAACATATAAGGCTATAATCCTTAAATGGGATTTTAATGCTTAATTTAGTATTTTCTTCTAGTTTTTTGGAAAACATTTGGTTAGTGAGAGTAAAAGACCACCAGAGGGAGTACGGGGTCTACACATTTGGTGTACCTGTTTTCTTACCCTTAGCATGGAAGAAAAACATTTTCACAATAAACACAAAATTTTATTTTAGTTCTCTCAGAGGATCTGTCCCGAGACTGAACATTTAGGATTGTAGCTGTTTGCGGGTTCTGTCATTTTTGTAACAGTCGATATTGTTTCTTTTAGTGAAAGATACATTTATTAGAAAGCAAAAATTATGTATTTTTGAAGTGAAATATGTTTTTAAGTGGACAGTTACACATCTGTGAAAGTTAGGGAATATCTTCATGCTGAGAGTATTTTATAATATTTAAAATGTACATTTGGGCCTCCTTGGTGGTGGAACAGGTTAAAGCACATCACTACAAGCTAGCGGCAGCCCCTTCAGTGTCAGTATGAGTTCGATCCCTGGTGGGGAGCTGACCCACATGGCGCAGCAGACCTCTCCTGTCTTGCCCGCTGCTCCCCTCAGCAGTGTACTCTGTCAACCTGCCTGTTCAGCTCTCCACTCTGTCTCTGGTGAATCCTATCACCACCCCTGCACCTCTAGCTAGTATCCCAGTTCTGTATACATAAATAAATAAACCTTCAATGTACATTTGAATTTTATGTTTTTGAAATTGCTCAGTTTTTGAGAGGACTAGAAGATGAAGAAAAATCAAAAACTAAAAAAAGGGTGTTTTTTTTTTCATGTTATAGTTGCAAATCTTTCCTAAAGTAGAAAATGGTAAATTTCTAGAATAATTTGTAGTATTCTGCCTCAATATTGGCAATTTATAAATGATGTTAAGTGAGGAGTCACTCCTAGCTCCCTGAAAATGATTATCTGATTATCAAAATGAGGGTTGGGAATATCAAATTGATCTCTTCAAAAATCAGGTTTGTCTGTAATGTTCCTGCCTGGAAATTAAAAAGAATGTTGTCTACTGTTAGCTGAAAATTACATAGTAGAAATTGAAAGTCAAAATATATCTGTCACAGATCTAATGCTGCAGTTAAGTTTCTTGTTGGAATGGAGGAAATGTCCTAGAGATTGAGACCTTTCCAGAATATATTCTAAATGAGGATAAAATGGCCTTTACTGATGTTAAATAGTAACCATCGAATTATTTCCATGTTTAACTTCAAAAAAAGCAAGACAATAAAATAAAATCTTATAATTACATATTTTGAGTTATGTTCTAGTATAAAAATATTGCGTGGATGATAACTTTTTGTGTTTTGAAATGTTAGTTTGGAAAGACTAGTTTGTTATTAGAAAATGTTTCTTTTCTTTATGTTTCTTTTCTTTTTTTAAAGATTTATTTATGCATACAGAACTGGGGTACATGCCAGAGGTGCAGGGGCAGTGAAAGGATTCACCAGAGACAGAGTGGGGAGCAGAACAGGCAGATCCATGAAGTACACTGCTGAGGGGAGCAGTGG